GCTGGACCATCGCCATTTCCGTTCGATTCGTTAGGGTTCGGATCGGATTATGATTGTCGAATTGGTTTCTTTGTCGATTTTTTTTTAAATTTTTTTAGGGTTTTGAGAGTGAAGGGAGTGGAGTCTGAGAGCGGAGAGAGGTTAAAAAGAGGAATCGGGACGGCTTCGTGTTGTCTTCGCCTTCGAGGAAGAGGTACGTCGAAGAGAGTAAGATTCGGATCTACTTTGTTTTTGTTGGATCCGTACCCGGACCCAAACTTGCACTTAAATTTCCAAATATTTGACTCCGATAAAACCGGCAAGTTATTTTGTCTCTCGAGGTATAATGGATCCGTATTCGGACTCGTACCTATTTTTTTTTGTTGGATCTGTTTCTGAACCTTCTCCTGCACTATGATAGAGAGAAGTGCACTTTACTTGTGTCAGTAATCCAACTTGAACAGTGAATTTGGGTTATGGGTGCATTCGGTCCGGATACGGCTGGGATATGCTGCTTACCATATCCATATCCGCTTACTCATCTCGAATACGGATACATACATGAATATACCTCGGTAAGGAAATTTTATATCCATAACCTGCTAGAATCAGATTCAGTTACGGATATAGATGCAGATATATAAGCGGATATGCATCCAGATACAAAACGGATATGAGAAAACTAAATAGTATTGAGAAAAACATAGTTAATGTGATATAAAAGAGTTCGTTAATAAGTTCATTATAACTAAAAAGCTAAACTTAGACATCTTGATCATCAAAATTAATCACAAATCTATGATCTAAGAATCGAAACTATCGTAAGAGTATGACTAATATGTATCCAGATAATTCGGATATGGATACAGATATTTCACTACAACAACATCTCGTAATCATATCCTATCATTTATAAAATTTGAGTAACCATCCTAACGGATACGGTTTCAGATATTTCCTCGGATACGGATATGGTTTAGCATCCATATTTTGGATACAAAGAATGATAAGAGAGGGGAATGATTCAAGTAGCCCCAAAGGGAGGAAGTGGTAGGGGAAAGAACAAAATAAATTTAATTGTGTTCGGATAGACAAGAAGAGGAAGCTAGGATATATCTAGATTACTATATAAAAAACCAACTAAGGGTAATGCAAAGTTGGATGAGTGGTGGACAAATCCTCCTTTTTAATTGTAATTGAAAGGTTAAAAATATAATTTTACAATAATTAGTTTTTTCCCTTTTTTTGCTTCTAGAATATTCTATATCATTCAATGTCATAAGAAAAAGCTCATATAATTGAATATTTTCTTCACATTTTATTTTATAAAAAAATAAAGTTCTATGCATATATCTATACCATAACTTATTTACACTAATGCATAAAGAAAATCAACGGAGGATTTTAGTTTCAAAGAGACATTGCTTGACTATTATTCTCTCTGATACATTAAGGCTGTGTTTGGGAACATGGATTTGGGCCCTGGATTTTAAATCCAAGGTATTTCAAATCCAAATCCCTAGTTTGGACTACAAAATTAAGCTAGAATTTCAAATCAAATTATTTTACAAAGAGAATTTGAAAGCCCAAAATCCCGTATTTGAAATCCTACCCTACCCCTTGTCATTTACCAAATCCCGATCCCAAACTCCTCTCTCGTTTCTCAGCTCCGACGATCCCCGACTCCTCCTCTCTCTCGTTTCTCAGCTCCGACCGATCCCGACTCCTCTCTCTCGTTTCTCAGCTCCGACCGATCTCGAATCTCTCTCTCTCAACGCAGCAACGCAGGTATCTCTACTCCCCTTCTCCTCTCTCGTTGAAACCCTAGATCTGATCTAGGGTTTCGGTCTCCCCCTTACTCCTCTCTCTCCCCCTTCCATCGAAACCCTAGTTCTGACTTGGATTTTCTCTTTTGTAGCTTGTTTCCTCTCTTTCAGTTGGTCCCCTAGATCTAGGGTTAGTTTTGGGTTTCGTCTGATTTTTTTTTTTTTGGGATTTACAGGCTACTGTCAGCGACTTGCAGGAGGAGATTCATACTAGAAGTAAGCGATTCATGTTTATGTGATTTTTTACTGTTCTTGGGAGGTTTATGTGATTTTGACAAATATTGGAGTTTTATTGCAAAATGCTGAAAGTTCATACCGGTTTAGTGAAATTTACCCATTATTATTCTTAGTTTGTCATTTGTTAAAGCCCAAACCGAGCAGAATGAGGAGGTTATATGTCTGCAGCATGGGTATTTTTTCTTAATCAGTCTATGAGGCACCATCTTTTAGTTACCAACAACCAAATGAGCTTGTTAAAGTGGGAAATAGAAGTCTGCAGCATGGGTATTGATTTTGATAGCATCTCTGTTGGCTTAGGATCCTGGCTCAGTGACAAAGAGATGTGATCCTGGGTATCAAACCTTGATATCTGGATACAAAACTATGTTATTAAACTGGTATCTGGACTTGCAAGCAATAATATTGAGTGAGTACCTTATTGTTTATGTGACTAGGTAATTTTCTGTTATTTGACTTGATACTTTCTGTAACTTCTGTTAACGCTTTATGCTGTTGTTTTAGTTGAAACCAATGGACCACCTTATGATGCTTTAGGGCATTGTTTCAGCGCTTTAATGTCGTCTGTTAGCTATAGATATTTGTTAAAAAAAGGGTTAAATTCTCCAACAAAATGAATCCATATATGCAACATACTTAAAACTGATGGTGATGCTGAAGACGTGAGACCCGTGATTATATCTTTTAATTGCTGAATTAGTATAAACTGAATTAGTTTTTGTTTTTTATATTATTATCTGCATATATGAAGACAATAGACAGTGGGAATTATGAAATGAACCCATGAGGCACTTGTACTGGCTCAGTGACAAAGAATGTAGACAACAGCATGTGTTCGATCTTTTTATTAGCAAAACTTGATATGGCTCAGTTTGTTTTTAGTTCAAATTTCAGCCTAAACTACCACTTTAGTTTAAGGATTAATCCTAGCCCGTTTAAGATGAATCCGTTTAAGATGAATCGCCAAACAGACCCCTAGAATACACATGAAATCCGAGAATTAATATGAAGTTGCCAATACTGCAGGATATTCACCAACATCGATCACATCCTTTGAGAATACATTTGAGAATTAATATGAAGTTGCCAATACTGCAGGTATGCAATGAAATTGATGGAAAATGAATTCATATACTGATTCAAAGAAATAAAGTTCATATACTGATTCAAAGAATGTAAGTTCCTATGCCTTTTGCTTTTACCCTATGCAATGAAATTGATGGAAAATGAATTCATATACTGATTCAAAGAAATAAAGTTCATATACTGATTCAAAGAATGTAAGTTCCTATGCCTTTTGCTTTTACCCTATGCAATGAAATCGATGGAAAATGAATTCATATAAGTATCGATGCAGGCTCCTTACTGGCTAACATATGATTTCCCTCCTGAACTGAAAGAAAGATTAAACAAAGAATGGGGAACAAACTGGAATGGTCAAGCACAGAAGTGGTAAGCTTGTTACTTCAACCTCAATGGCCATAATTGGATATCAAATACTTTATTGGATATAGACTGAACATTAAGGAAGGCCCTTTAATACCTAATAAGTTGATTTTAGGAGCTCATTTACTACCATGCTGTTCCTGTTCTTTTTTTCTTTTTTTTTCCATCTCCTGGTTTGGGTAATTGTATGCTTTGATTTTTGTTTGTAAGCATCTCTATCTGGAGAGCTGAAGAAGTTATCGTTTCAACTAGTCAACTTATTTGTCATTTATAAGAAGAATATGTTACCATCTAATT